TAGTTCCTGGAGACGGTGTGCTCTTAATGATTTTATAGAGAGGTCTTCGTGTCTTCACCCTGTTTCGCGAACTCAGCTTGCTGTTTCCAGAGGCCCTCTGTTGGCGCCCTCTTCTGTGCTGCTCCCAGTGGCTGTCGGCTAGCAGATCGCACCCCCTCCCAACACTGGATCAGGTGCTGAGCTCTTACAGGGTGGGCAGGCAGATCACTCCCCCTCCAGATGCCGCAGTCAGATGCTGCACTCGGGGGAGGCAGGTGGGTAGATCGTGCCCCCTCCCAGCACCATTGTCAGGTGCTGCGTTCCTGCCAGGAAAGCGGGTTGCTGCCCCCCCTTTCCCTGCGCTGGTCGCTTTGCTGCTTTGTGCCGCTGCCTGCTCTGCCTTGGGTTGGCGTTCTGAAGGCGGGCTCGGGAAGACCGAGGAACAGCCCCGTCTCTGCTCCGTGCCAAATCTCAGCTCCTTATTTGTCTTGGCAGTGCGAGTTCTCTGAGGGACCAGGGCAGAAAGATCCTATCTGCCTCAGGTTGTAAACAAGTCTCAGTCCTGTCTAGGAGGTTGCAGAGCCCCCGGGTGTGGATTCAGGTCTCGGCCCCGCCCCTGGCCGGGCGCTGCACACAGGAAGAGAGGGCGGCTGTGGCTGTGCCCCACCTCTCTTCTCGCGAGAAGTGCCAGTAATGGCGGCGCGGGTCCGAGGAGACAAAGGTTATGGTGCCCCTCCCCCCAGGCCACACCAGCCGTGTTGCCTTGCTTTTTTTGCACTTTATGTGGGACTGAGGTTGTTCTACTCTGTATCCCCTCCGAGCCACGGCGTGCAGCACCCTGTGGTCCCCTGGGGCTGCCTCAGTGCAGCCGCCCCAGTCCTCTGCCCAGCTCGGCCACCTGTCCTGGCCCCAGCTGCCAGCTCGCATCTCAGGCTGGGTGTCATGGGGACCCTTTGTGCCCGTTTAACTCAGTTCTGTCAGTCAAGGGGTGCTCAGGGCAGATCTGAGCCTTGGAGGCTCCCCCTCCATCCCGCTGGCCTCTCCGTTGGAGAGGGGAGCCCCAGCGAACGAACGCCAGTCCTCCTTTGCTGCTCCCTCCCCGCGGGATCGGTCCCGCACTGTTTTGCTTTTTCTTCTTTCTTTTTTCCTTTTCTCCTACCAGATTTTTGGCGTCTTTGCCTTTCGAAGAGGGAGATGTTCTATGGGAGTTCCACAGGTGCTCTGGTTGGCTGAGTGGGTCCGTAGATGTGAGTTTTGGTGTATTTGTGGGAGAGGGTGAGCTACAAGCGTCTTTCTACTCCACCATCTTGCTTCTCTCTCCCTTCTATGAACTCTTTACTTGGAAAATGACTTTTAATAAATTTCTCTTTTTTCCTGCTTTCATTTTTTTTTATACCAAGGTATATGTATTTGTTTGAATGAGCATCAGAAAATAGCAGAGTTTGGGCGTATATTGAGGTTTATGTCAAGAGAATAAAATATGGAGTCAGAAGGCCTTGGGCAAATCATTCAACCTCCCAGAACCTCAGTTTCCTCACTTGCTAAGTGGAGAAATAAAAAATACTTCATAAAGTGTTGTTTGTAACCAAACTGATTTCATTTGTTCATTTTCTCACTTTATAAACATTAATTAGCTACTCTGTGGCTGTCAGCCTTAAGCTTGAAATATAGAAACAAATCAAAGCTTCCCTCGAATAAATTACGGAACAGTACAGAGATAGAAAATGTTAATACATTATGGTGTTACAGGACTAGATAAGCAATATGATGGGGAATTGGTAACTAACAGACGAGAAATATGGACAGTTTACTCAGAAATAAGGACTACCAGAACGGAATCAACAGATCTGGAGGGAGAGGAATGAGATCTGTTGGACATACTGACCTTGAAGCCCATGGAAACTGGGAGTTACCTAGATGGGTGTCCACCGGGCTTTAGGGTCTAAGGGTTTTATATCTCAGGAGGGAGAGATTTGGAGGCTCTTGGCATGAAGTGGTGCTAAAATCCTCAAGGGTTGATGAGTTCACTCAAGGAGAATATATATGTAGGGACTAGAAGCAGAGGTTCTAGGATAGAACCCTGTTTTGATAGTCCATTTAAACAATCATTAGAGTTTATGACGGGATCTAAGAAGGAATGGTCAGAGATGATTCAAAGAAAACAGAGAATTGATGTTTATGAAAGTGTGGTGCTCTTTAAATGTAAAGCACTGTGATGTAAATTTATTTGCTGTAAATAAAGGGACCTTTTGGTCTGGCCTAAAATCACAGTGACTCAGAAAGTTTCTAAATAAAAGGCTTTGGAGAATATAATGTTGTAGATTGGTGACAAATATTTATTTATTTGTTTGTTTGTTTGTTTATTTAGACAAATACTTTAAAGCTTTGCTAAAAGAATATAAAATTTAGAGTCATGTAAATGACAGGGTGCCACGTGTAATCGGTATAAACTAAAATATCTGATGCAAAAGGCTCATTGACATTTTTAAGGCAGGGCTTTTAATGTTAAATTTAGGAATTGATTGATTCTGGTGTTAGCAGAAATGAAGTCACTTCAAAGTGTTTTAAATAATTGATTATTGTTGCCAAATTCCTTTATAGAAATGGATTTCACTTGGCTAGGGTGATTTTTGAAACTTTTTTTTTCGAGTACAGTGTGGCAGTTGGAACTATGCTAAGGAGTAATTTAATGAAACCTTTAAATGGTTTTTCCATTTCCACTAAAAATTCCTTCCATTGTGGATCCTAAAAATAACATAAAAATTGCTTAACCAGGTTTGTCAATAACTCTAGGTAATCCAGCCTGAAAAGCAGATTTGTCTTAAAGCGTAGGTTAATTTTAATTTTTTTAAGTTGAATTTGATCTTTTTTTGTTCTATTTCCGTTTTTATATCCTATAATAATTTTTAACAATGAGAAATTGATCCTCAGTAGTTCTTTTCAGAAGTTAAGCAGTGACGATTCTGACTCAAGGCATTTCTTTTACTGTGTTCTCTGAAACGGGTGTCAGACAAGTTTTATGCATACTGCTCGTGGACTAACCATGAGTCTGATGTACATCGGCTTGCATCTTCCGTGCTTAACCTAACCTGAGTCTCCTTATCATCTACCAGGTGATGAAGGTGGAGAATCAGAGCTTCTTGGAGAGGATCTTCCACTTGAACCCTCTGTCGCCAAAGCAGAAAGGAGTCACTTGATAGTGTGGCAAGTGATGTATGGTAGTGAGTGAACCCATAGGAAACAGGTGGTGACAGGGAACCATCTCTTCTGCATGGTTTATTTTCCCTTTTCCCCTTTATTTAATGCTCTCGTTGTGACATAAGTTTCACCACACAATGTGTGAGCATTTTTTTTCTGTTAACTTTATGCTACAGAATCTGTCTGACAGTAACAATACAGGAACTAGCACCAGTGTCATAGGCAATTTCAGTATGTCATGAACAAATCAAAGAATGTTTACTTTCTGCAAACTGGTGAATTATAGAAAGCAATCCAGATGTGGTTTACTTTGCCACAGCTAATGTCACTCACTTCATTTGATGGGGTCACTTTATAGCTGTCACTAATAATGGAATTAATGGAAACACTTGATAAATGAAACTGTACCATTAAGTAGAATAGTAGTTTTCCCCAATGTATTGTAAAATTGACACAAACTAATATCAGGTGGATTATTAAGATTTATCTAAATGTCCCAAGAGGGCTAAAAGCTAACTGTAAATTAACTTTCACTTTCAAATCTGACAAATCTTGTTTATATGGTATATAAAACTTTGTTTTCATCAGATTTTGCGGGGGGGTTTTATATTAAAGAAATTAAGACTACACTATTTAAATAAAAGTTTCTTGTTTCTGACTTATTAGAGCTCTAAGTTTGAGGCCTGCTTCTCTGAATATTGTTTGTTTTTTGTTTGTTTTGGAGACTAGTCTCACTCATTTTCACACTGACATGTTTGAATGGTTTATTATTTATAAGGCTTAGAAGATACACTTCTGCAAGGGGAGGTTTTTTCTTTGTGTTTTGTTTTGTTTTAAAAAATTGTGTTTTGGATTTCTCATACCAGTGGATGGTAGTCGTTGGATGAATTTTTTCCATGTAAAAATTAACTTGTTTACCACTTGTTCTTGGACTGCTCTTACCAGTAATAAGAGTTAAGCTGTAGTGGGGATGGAGTATGGCCTAGCGAACTGAATGAGAGATTTGATTAGAAACGCTATTTTCTCTTGTTCTGTATAAAACTGTACAACTACTAACACTTGATATTTTGTATGTAAATGGCATTTAAGCTTTTGTTCCCTTTTGAGATTAAAATGCCAGGAAAACTATGAAGGAGAAGACAAAGCCAAAATAGCATAAAATAAAAGTTGACATTACATCTTTTCACTCACAATGCCCCTTAGAAAACAGAGTCTGGATTTAATTGATTTTCTTATTTAATAAGTTTTTAAGAGCCATTTTGCTGCAGTTTTTCCTTCTCAAACTTCTTAAAAATGTATAATTTACCATTTCTTATTCATTACTTTAAGCAAAGCTAAATATAAGTTTAAGTACTATTTTAAAGTATAAATTTATTGGATAAAGGCCTCCAGTCATCAGAAGGACTACTTCAGAAAAAGGAACCAACGAAGGTCTCAGATGTCTGAGCATCCTCAAGGACCAGGGACTTTTTTCCTGAACTGTCATGGAAAGATATTTGCAAAAAGTACTACCAGTATCTTTTAAACATATAAATGATTAGGCCTGATTATAAAATACACAGGATTTAATGTGTTGAATCTGCCTTTGGATCCACTTGACCAACATGTATCTATAAGCACATTGTGTACACAGTACAATTGTGGCCACTTCAGATGTCTAGAAGGAAAAAACTGTTTTGGTAAAAGCTGTATAAAAAGGATAATTTTTTGCTTGAGCTACTTAGTCACTTTTCTTCAGGGCACCGAAACTTAGGTCCCTTTTGCATAGCTTATAAGCTGTACTTTTATTTTATTTTAAATCTGAGTCATTTTCGGCAATATTTTAAGGAAAAAACCCCACGTCATTAAACATTTTTGGGGAATGTTGTATAAATCCACAAAAGAGACACCAAAGTGTTTGGGAATTTTAATCCCAAGAGGTAAACATCCCAGAGTCAGGCCCCATTTGCTGTTCAGTCTTTTACATGTTTCTATGACAATGTAATTTAGGAGATCAGGTGTTAAACATGACAAATGCAAACATGTTACAATAGGTGTTTTATTGCTCTTTTTAAACTTACTGGCTTTAACTTAAGGAATATAGGTATGTAGTTATTTTATCTAAAGCTGTTAGATATCTGTGGCCCTGTTAATTAACTTCAGGGGCTAGAGAGAGTACAGAAATGCCTGTACAATTTGTTTTAAGGGCTTGTCTTTATATTTGTAATTTCAGTTAAATATTTTCTAAGATTGCTTTACCTTTTCCCCAATAGTAGGTTTATATTCTTGTAACATTCACTTTGGTCAAGGTGGTAACCTTGGGAAGAAAATGCCAAAATATAAGCTTCTTGCAAGCAGCAAGTAGTTGGTGGAATCTGCCGGTAGCTACCACTTCAGTAGTGAAGAGGCTTGAGTACCGTGGCTTGGTCTCTCCATGTTAAAAAAAAAAAAAAATTACCCCTATTGGAAGAAATAAGGAATATTGAGAATTTTCTCATTTTGTTATGCTTGGGTTATGTATTATGTTGAACCATGTGAAATTGCTGATGTTCAACATTGCTGATCTACAGAAATGGCAGTGTCATATACATCAACCTAGTACTTACTGCTAAATGCAGGTTAGAATTCCTATGAGGCAAAGGGAGAATATTGTTTAGGAACTCAGTGTTGAGAGTGTCTTCCTCTAATTCGTGTGGATCTAAAATTTTTTAATAGAAATAAATATCTTAGTAGCTGCAGCTTGTTGAGAGTGTAAAACATTTTGAGCACAAAATTTGCAGCACATAACTTTTCAGATGAAGCATGTTTGCATAGAAAAGGTTAAAATACATTCTCTCAGTTGCTGTGTTGTTCATTTCTTGTAAAGGTCTACCTACGTTTGAGAATAGACCCTTTAACATAGGCTGCCTTAGTGACAAAACAAAGCAAAACGATTGTCTCATAATATAACTGTCCTAAAGAATGTGTGTCTTGCAAATGCTGTGGAACTGAATATTTGTTTTCTTGGAGTGTTATGACTGTTACCAAAGGACTCAACCAGATTTTGGGCTCTTCTTAATTGATCATGTTGAGAAAGGGACTTATCTTGGTCCCAGTTTGAAACAAGGGAAGAGTAGAGAGAATTAAATGTGGAAATCGTAAATGCTTTTCTAACAGGGTTATGCTATTTTGTAACACTAAATGTCTTTTTCTTTCTTTTAAAAAATTGTTTTTATTATTAATTTTGTCATACATTTCTCAATATTTGAATATATTTTAACCATTTTATGTTCTGAATTTTTTTGTCCTAGACATTTTATTCAGAGTTTTACTTGCCTCTATAATCTGAAAAATGGGTTCTAGAGTGTCTGTCCCACTTGCTGTCTCTTAGAGGCTGATGCTTCATTTCTGTGAGCAAAAATGCTCATTTAGCAATGTAGTTATTTCAGTATTTATTTCTTTTATGGAATCCCTGGGGTTCAGAATGTAACTTTGTACATGAAATATATATAAATATGTATATGAAACATGTATGAGGTTCAGTGTGTTTTGTTTTTGCCTTTCGTAGGGGTCTGAACTTGATTTTTACTTGAAAGTCCAGTAATCATTCCCTGTCAAACATGTCAATTCTGAGGGTCAGGACTGTCGCCATTTGGCATTGGCTAAAGGTGAGCAGTGAGGAATACACGAAGAACGTGTTTGCTTGGCTCACGTGTTTAAGTGAGATATGAGTAATAGACAGTAGGGCGTTCTAGAAATGTGGGTGTGCTGAGTAACAACCCACACATGATACCAAGTATACCATTTGCCAGATTACTCAGTAATAAGCGGCAGGCTGTAATGTAGATGTTAATAATATGGTGTGCTTATTTGTGATCCATTTGCTTGGGAGAGACTGGAAGGAAGGACGATTATAAGCCTGATCATGTGGTAGCACGGTGTGCATTCATGTTCAGCGCAGTGTGTTTAGTCTCATGCCGTGTATTTTGTTTACAGGAAGTGGGGTTCTGACGGGATAGTAATAGTAGCCCTGATTGGCATGTCAGTAGGGCAGTTCACTAGATGAAGGTCATAGCCAGTGAGGGTGGATGCTCCAGAAATGAGTTAATAGCCTGTCTCATTCCTACTTTGCAGGACCTTACCTAACTGCCCCTTGGAGTCCTTTGGGGCCTGCCAAGCCATTGCTTTAGAAACTGATTTTTTTTTTTTGAGGCTCATTTAGTTATATTCCTGATCCAGCCAGTCTCTAGTGAGAGACTAGGATAGCAGCACAGGACAGCAAATAATTCATTTTAATTTTCTTGGGGGAACAGGACAGGAGTCCTGTCCTCTTCACTGGAACTGTCACGCTCAGTCCCACCCAGTGGCGAAACTGCCTTTCCAACCTTAATGGAGAGATTCTGCCTAAGCCTCCAAGGTCTCCCTCATCCAGCCCCCAGGCCTCTCACACGCAGCGGAGGCAGGAGAGCCCTGGCAATCACGAAAGCATGGGCTCCACTTCGAGCAGTGGCCAGCTATTAGGAAAGGTCTTGCAGTTAAGGAACTCCTCAGAATGCCTTAAACATTCGTTAATCGATACAGTTCAGTTTTTAAACTGCCTTCCTTTACAGACGTAGTGGTAGCAGGCCAAGAAGGCAGTAGAAGACCTGAGCAGGCCCTGCCCCCTGGGCCCCTGGACCACTCACTTGGACATAGCACCCCAGAGCCACCCACAAAGGCATAAAACCACCCCAGACCTGTTGAACTGGCCGTGGGCGTCTGTGAAGTGTGGTGAGTGAGTGTAGCTCAGGTTGAGGACTGCTGCTTTAGCATCTTTGGACCTTAGTTCTCACATGTGTTAGACGAGGGTGGTTTACCCAGATGATCTTTAAAAAAATTCTAGCTCTAACCTTTTCTGGGTCTGTGACCCTGGTTCTACTTTGCCTTGGTGTGTTGTCTATACAGATACCAGCCCTACCTGCTTGCAGGTCCACGGTTGCCCCAGTCCCCCATGAGGCCCAGGGATCAGGCGGGTGGGATTGGATTACTTAGAAAATCCAATTTATCAGAACATCACTGGACAAAAGGAGCCAGATAGTGTGGGTCCTTGCTTTTATATCCAAGCAGAACATTGGCTCCCCACCAAAGACAAAAAGTAGTTAAGATTTGATTTGAGGCCTCAAGGGAGAAGAGGACCAGTAAGCCTCAGCTCACCGGGCAGCAACTTCATATAAAAGCCGCAGTTCTCAACAAGGCCAGGAGAGGGAGGTGTGGCCAGAATCACCAAGGAGCTAATTCCTGAAAGGGAATTACTGTTTCCTTCTTCCTCTCACCTCAGGAGTATCAGACTTTACTGGTGTGTTTGGAAGAACAGTTACCCTTGTGATTCTGGTCCTTCCATTGGGATCGGCTGCCTTATTAAGAGGAACTTGAGCAGCCCAGCTGGGTTCACAAACATCTCTTTTCCAGGAGCGCAAAGCTTCTTCCTTCTTAGCCACTTACTACCAGTACATGGTACTTTGAACTTACTGCTACATTAAACGCTTAAAGGGAATATTTCATCTCCATTCACTTAATAAGGCTATTTTTTTTCCATAGAAAAAAGCCATAACCTTTCAGTTGCTGTGACTAGCATGTATTTGCATAACATCTAATAATTTTCTCAAGGTCTTTACTCCATAAATTCACAGGTGACCCACAGAGCCACTCTGTGGTATATTATCTTCCTCAGGTGATCCAGAGGCCCGGCCACAGGAGGGGCCTCGCCTATTAGTGAACAGGTCTGGCCGAGGCGAGTAGAGGCCCAAGGTCCTCATGGGGAAGTATAACCAGATTAACTCCACACTGGAGGCTCCCACAGGTGTGTGGGCAAAAAGTACTGGATCTGAGGTCAGGAGAGCTGGGTTTGAAACCCTAGCCTACTGCTCCCTAATTTTGTGACCCTTCTCTAGTCACTTAACTATTCTGTTTACTGTAAAAGGCAAGTAACACTCCAGAGTGTTCTCATGGTGGCTAAATAGAGTAATGATGTGACAGCAACCAGCATATTGCCTGCCCCTGCTGGGCACTCAGCAGCTGGCTTTGGAGGCCCCTAGATGTCAGGGATGTGAAGATGAGTAAGACGCCCTCGAGGAGACTGGCTAAGAGAGGAAAGTAGACACAAAAGTGATAGAGTGGAGTCAAGTATTACTTGACTTGTCCATTAGAGGCATTAGCTGAACAAATGATGCTGGTGTGGTATGTGCTTTGGCTATTTCGTGGTATAAAAACAGGAAGAAAACTCTTCAGTGCTTATTTAATGCAGACTGTTCTTATTTCCAGCCTTTTTATCAGTGATCTAGACCTTGTTTGTCTTAAGAGAACTGTATTAGGAAGCAGAGTTACCTTGGGCCTGGTGGGCCTTTCAGAGAATGCCTGTCTTTCTCTGTTGCCCCACCCTCCCCGACTTAAGGAAGAGGAGTGTTCCTTGAAAATTAAACACAGAAGGAGACACGTACTTTTTCCATCTAAGAATTTATTTCATTCCTGTGCAGGCACACTGAGGGACATACTGAAGCATGAAAATAATGGTAAATTTGACATTTTTAGATGCCATCAACACATTTTTTTCAGTATCTTGCTCATAATGCTTTATGACAAGAATTAAACGAGTCACTGCATATAAACAAGTAGAATGAAGACATACAAAACTGAATAAAATTTTAACATCTGATGCACAACAGGGTGTGGTATGGTGGCAAGGAGGATTATATGCTTTCTACATGATTAAGATTAGCATCACTGCCCAAGCAAGAGGCAAACCTCCATCTATTAAGATTTTTGCTGACCATCTCAGGTGCAGAGACCCCCAGAGAGAGTGGAACAGTCTTTCAAAAGCTGGAATTTCATCATCAGGAGTGTTATAGTAATAGTATGTTATTCAGGGGATTGTTGGAAAGATTAAATGAGATAATGTAAAGTAGTACTACTCAGCAGTGAACAAATACTGTATCTTCCCCCACTGAGGCTTCAGTTTCTTTTCCTATTGTCCTTTCTCCTTAAGCTTTCTTTCCTTTACCTTTGACTAGCCTAGACAAAGTGACAAATCCTGGAGTGAATTTTCAGCTACTGGCCTTCTGTTGAGTTTTGGCCTGTTATGCTTCTGTGGAAACAGACTTTTATTCTGTAGGCAATCCACACTTCTGTCTTGGAGAGTTTGCTTGGGGCTGTAAATAAGGAACTAGGAGCAAAAGTTTGGCATCTTCTTCACTAGAAGACTCCTGTATTGATTCTTAGAGGCATCTCAACCATTTGCCCTTTCTGGAGAAGTCTGGCTGGAGATGAGCAGAAACTGGGCAGATGCCTCAGGGCAAGCCTTTGCTGATCTAGAGATCCCATCCTGGGCTTTACCCAGCTGAGGGTTTATCAGACCATTCCGCCCTATATTAAAGCCAATGTTTCTAGGGCCCCAAAGGGACAGTGCTTTCTTTCAGAGGCCCCCTCTAGTGTGATATGATGGGAGCCAGAAGTCAGCATCTTAAAACCAAGTCTCCATAAGGAAGCAAATGTCCTAGCCTCTCCCTGCCACTGATCTATCAAAAGTCTATCGTCTCTCTCTGGACCTTCAGTTTTCTTTATCTGTAAAAGCTGGAGCTTGTCTCAGATGAAGTCTTAAGTCTCCTAGGGTGAACTTCTTTGAGGCTAGGTCATGTGTGCCACGTGCAGTTTGAGTTGTGTGGGCCAGTAGCCTTCTGTCAGATCCTTAATGGAGAGAATTTGTGAAGCCTGCACCACTTGGTACAAAACAACTGTTTTGATGCACCAGTTAGTCCTTGAGGCATCAAGGCATCACTTCCATGAATGGAAGGCATATGTATTAATTAGGAAGGTAGACACTCTGAGCTCTCCAGGTCCTGCACTTCCCTTGGGTGTGTCCACCTTAGCCTTCCTAAACCTGGGGAAAGTTCTCAAAGTCTGCTGTAGAATGTCAGCTGAGCCTTCAGAGAGCTTCTCTCTAAGGCCCTTTTGGCATCACTTGGGGAAGAAAGAGAAGGGCTAAGAGGTGATGCTAACTTGATTAGGGAGGATCCTTGGCTTCCCAGTATCTGCCCCTCCCAGAGCAGAAAAGGGGTAGGGGAACAGGAAATGAACAAAAACTGCCTTGCTCCAGAGACACTGGGCTCCGCTCCCTTTCGAACACAAGGTGGCGCTGTGCTGGCATGAGCTTTCCAAAGACTGGCAGCCCCTTATTCCTCCCCTTCATCCTCACGGAGCTGTCCATGTGCAAGGCAGGCCAGACATGATCAAGGAGGGTGCCTATAGGGGGTCAGACTGTACAGGTAAGGCAGTAAATTCGTTCACTTTCCTAACAAGCCAGCTGAGGCCCGGAGCGGCTGTTATCCAACAGCAGAGATTGGACTAGAACTCTTCTGTTAGACTGCCTCTAGGTTCTCATAGCCCGGAGTTCTCATTCCATTCATTTGCCAGGGGCAGGGAAAATACCTTTTCTTAGCCTTCCCAGCCAAGCAGCCTAATAGCCCAGGAACCCAAGGGGAAGGCAGGTGGTCTAGAGC